TTGCAAATACTCTTTTATTAATTATAGGATATTTGGTATTGATTAATATTTGGGAATTGCCAAATAACACTATTTCCGGTATTTTAAATGTCCACCTCATGGGGGAGGCTATAAGAAGTTCGGTCGACCTTGAGGACGTTTCTACTTGTTTTTAGTATTTTTAGACCTTATACATGTATGTAACATGCAAAAGGAAGGATCACAAGAGCCATATTTCAATTTTTATATCTTCTACCATAATATGAACTCTTCAAAATAATTATATCAGATCCCATAACCTATTCGTTATTATGATAAAGTTCTAAGATGATTTGACAATCTTAGTCTGTCGTAATCTCTTCACTTTCCTAACGAATTGCATTAGTGAGCTAAAAGTTGGGCTACTTATGTTTATTTCCGTTTTATGTGGAGCTATTATGACGGTAACCCCGATTTTTTCTTGAACCCGATATCACTTCTGGTGCCCAGTGGAATAAAAATCTTGGAAAAAATGTCATTGTAGGTCCACTTTTTATAAATGCCCTATAGTCTATATTAGCTGTTGCATAGTTTCAAGTGGGGTTGGCAACTCTATTGCAAGTATATGATAGTATTTATTTGGTGGAGGGTATAAAAAGATCGTCTCGAATAACTTAATGCCTTTTTGAGGGATCGAAAATTCCTTTTGATTATTAAAGTTCTTGGCGACCATATTAAAAACACATCAGAACAAATTCACTATTATTCAGTTTTATGAGTTATAGCGTGTTAAAGTTTTTATAGGTGGAAAAATTTTATATCTTTGTTTGGGTCTATTGCAGGTTATTTTTGACATGTTATCAGTCAATTCTATTGAGGAATATTGCTGTCCTTCTAACTCGACTCCTTGCTTGTTTGTCCTTTTTTCATTATTGTCTTGAATCCTTTGGAAAAATTAACAAAATGGTAGAGATATAAAATTTAATTTTAGAAAAATTCTCTATTTTCGACTACAAACCGAGTTAGAAAATAGGGAAGATCTTCAAGTTCGGCGCCATTTATTTGTGAAATATTTTCACATATATTTTAAATGATGTCGGTGGATATTCCATACTTACCATAAATCCAAGCAGCTGTAATCAATTCCACAATAGCCAATACAATGGCTATAAATGTAACTCCATAGAAATCTATGAAGTTCAACATAAATTGTCCACCCGGAGTGATATACATCAAACCGACACAATAACAAATTATTGCCATGACGATGACAACAATCCAACGTTTTGCCGAAAGAAAACGATCACAAATCACATTGATTGAAGTGGAGAAGACACCGGTAATTGTGCCCACGCCCAGTGTGAATAACATGAAAAAGAACAGAACAGAGAAGACCTGAAATAAAAAATAAAATTCTATAATTGAAAAAAATAATATAAATGTATTTTCATGTCCTCTTAATACCTGAGGAGCAGCCTGCAACTTAGCAATGGCATCTGGATAGGAAATAAATGCCAAACCGGGACCAGATTTTACGACACTTTTTATATCATCCGTATTAGATTCGTGAGCCAGATGACCTAAGATGCCAAAAATTACAATACCCGAGAGTAGGGATGTAAATGTGTCCAATGTTGTTACAATAGTGCAGTCTCTACAAATAGTAGGAGATTATTTCTTATAATAATTGCTATGTTATATGGATTTCGTATTTCAGAAAAATGTAAAACCAACCCACCTTTTAATATTGTGATGAAATCGATTAAACGACGCATACATCGGTATAACACCATAACCCACAGTCAGGGAAAAGAATACCTGCGTCACCGCTGCATACCACACATGTGCGTCCAAAAGTTTATCCCACTGAGGTGTTAGGAAAAACAAAACCCCGTCGAATGCTCCCGGCAATGTCAGAGAACGTATCAGTAATACCAGCATAACAACATAGGGGAACATGGCCAAAAAATATGAAACCTTGCCCGAGCTCTTGACACCCTTAATTATGACCGATGAAATTATCAACCAAGCAACGGCCAATGTAATGGCCAATATCCAGTTTGGCACTCCAATGCCATCATCGATAGTTGGTTTTTCACGGAGAACTATATGTCTGAAAATTGGGATTTATAATTACCAGTATATACAGGGGTTAATGTTTGAAACTTACACAAAATAAAATTCCGCCGAAGTCTTTTTGACTTCCGAAAAATCTTGCCTGTCTGCAGACTTTTCCAACTTGGAATCAATGCACAGTGGTCCCCATTCTTCACGGCAATAACTCCATGGCAGTGTTGGATAAAAGGAATCCACAACATAACGCAAAGTTATGGCCATCAATGATGAATAGTAGGTGGATATGAAAAATGTGGTAATGACTTGACCATAACCAATTCCTATGAAAGAAATAATAATTAAAACAAAAAAATATTAAAAATTGCATTCCCTCTTACCTCTCATAATGGGTGCATACTCAAAGACCTTAACACTTCCACGACTGGAAAACTGACCCAATATCATTTCCAGATAGTAAATGGGCTTACCAACCAGTAGCAGTGTTATAATGTAGGGTATAAGAAATGCTCCTCCTCCATTCTCCAAGGCTATGAAAGGAAATCGCCAGACATTACCCAAGCCCACTGACAGAGCAATGCAGGACATCAAAAATTCAACATCATTTCCCCATTTGTCTCGTTGTGGAGCGGGTGGAGATTTTTCGACATCGGGTTCTGTGGTAGGTTTCTATAAAAAGAATGAAATTAAAATATTACTACGCGTTTACAATCAACAGGTCAGTTGAGTTGTTATTTAAATTTTCGGGATTAAAAATATATACATTTCGGAGTTTTAAAAGCCAGTAAGGAAAGTAATAAAACCGGACCGGACCGACTATCATATAGTCAATCGGAAAACCTTGGCAGTTTGGTGCTCCATTTACATAAAATCGGACGAACTATATATGGAATTTTAATCTGAGCCTGTACAGATTAAAATTCCATGACACTGATTCTTCCAATCACCTGAAATGATTATAGAATTCAGGGAAATGCATCTTCAGTACGTATCTTCCTCATTTACAACAATTATCTTTTATTACTACTGAATTTTATATTTTAAAGACTGAAACAATTATTTTCGAGTGGAGTAGCTGCCTATGATAAGAGTCACGAGCCTTTCATCTAACCTACTTCAATTTGAGTGCTCTTATCGATTTTTGGTCTGTATTGTTGTCTCTAGAAAATAACATAACATACAATTTTGCAATACAGTTGTGCGGGATGAACAGAAGCACACATTCGCCATAGGTTAAGTTATAGCTGGTAATTCTATATTTTTATATCTGTTTTGCGACTATTGCGGATTATTTTTGATATAACATGTCTTCAATCAAATCGAATGAGAAATATTTGTCGACTTCCAAATGTACCACAAACGATTTTTGATGGTGTTCCAGAATATGAGAAATAAATATAAATTTCATTTAAAATGTATATCATGGTTATTGCATTTACAAATTGGGGACTCAAAAGATAGGTATTTCGAAGTGTTCAAGATAAATAATCTCATGGCAAATTTTTGTATGTTATTGTTGAATGGCAAATCTTTCTACTAAAAGTTATAAATATATATCGATCTTTGCTTATAACCCATTATAAGTATTCTGATGACCCTAGATGCATTTTTCGAGTGACTATATTCTAGTATACAAAGTGGGTGTAATTTAGTATTCCGGGACCTCAACATCATCACAGAATATCTTCAATACACGTCCATGTTTTCTGTATGCTCAAGGTCCTAGCCCAAATTTCCAACCCTTCCCCAATGTTCTTGAGGCCCTTGGTTGAGACCGAAGTCATTGATTTATATGTACATAGAACTACCATGATCGACAAATACAGAGTTTTCCGATCATCTGAAATTACTATATTTTGGGAAATGCATCTCCATTTCTTATCTTTCACATCTACAATAATTATCGTTTATTAGGGGAGACTGGGGCACCTTCGGCAATCGCGTTTTCGATATGAAGCTCTCACCCCACATCACTAGTTTCGATACATAGGTATCGAATATCGAAATAAATAATTGACACAAAATTTGAAATTTCTAGCTAATAAACGTATTTAGATACATAGGTTTTTGTATTTTTATAGATGTTTCTGTAATATTTCAATTCCATTTCGTAAGTATTTCGTGTATAAAACTTTTTAAATTTTTAAGACAATATTATTAAAAAGTGGTTAAGTACGATATGTATTATAAAAATATAAAAAAATATATTGTTTTTACAAAACAGATCGAAAAAAATTAAAAAAAACTATAAAAAGTACATTCGGGGTACATTCGGCATTTTAAAGTGGGGCACATTCGCCCATATACAGATTGTGCAATATTATTTCCGTAAAATGTTTTTGAGTTTGTCGTTAAAACTAATCCTTTAATATGGCTCGAAATTTCATATATAAGATCAAACGTGCTTTTATTGTCGAAAATGCGATAGAAAACCTCTATTTCTGATGGTGTGTGCGACCTTGAGATGTAAACGTCCGCCGCTAGAAAATAAAGCCCTATAATTCAAATATTGTGTTGCGTATTAAAACCAAATAGAGCCTTTAGAGGATCAGAATTTTAACCAGACTGATAGCGATGACAATTACCCGGCTATGACTATGGTGCCGAATGTGCCCCATCAAATACCGAAGCTACCCGGGTTGGGGCAAATTCGGCGAATTTGACTTTTTTACAAAACTGTAAAATTTTTTAACTAATACTATTTTTTTATATCTTTTTGGTACAATTTTTTTATAATTAAGTGTCAGAGGACAGTAATCAACCATAAAGTTGTTATATATGTTGAATAAGTACATAGGCATAAAGCTCTAAAAAAAGTGCCGAAGGTGCCTTACTCTCCCCTACTACTGAAATTATATTTTATTGAAAACAATTATTTTCGAGTGGAGTAGCCAGCCTGTGATAAGAGTCACGAGCCTTTAACCTATCCTACTTCAAGTTGAGTGCACTTATTGATTTTTCGTCGTTACTGTTTACTGTAGAAAAAAAAGAATTTTAAAATAAAAAATTGTTCCCACAAAAATAAAAATAAGGAAAGGAAAGTTCAAAAGTCGGACGGGGCCGACTATATCATACCCTGCACCAGCAACGTACACAGGATTTCATTTCGGGGGGGCCCGATAGTACAAAATGAAAAAATTCGCTGTTGCAAACATAAATTTACTGTGAAAAAAATGCGTACGTCCCTGCCCTGCACCACTTTGGGTACATACAAAAGATGCTCATATGTACAACATCCTTTTGATAGAATAGACATAGCATCCTTGGAGGGCATTGACATGGAATCGGACGATATTAACTGCGTACATAGATATTTAAACTAAATTAAAACAAACCATACACAATTGAATGTCTATGGTCCATTTACATAAAATCGAACGAAATTTGAATGAGAGCTATATCTAAATCTGAACCGATTCCAACAAAACTTCGCATACATCAATCCTGACCTAATTCAGTACGCTGTGCAAAATTTTGTCTTAATCGGACAAATAATGGTAATATGGTGCTTCATTTACCTAAAATCAAACGAAAATATTAATGGGAGCTATATTTAAATCTGAACCGATTTCCACAAAATTTCGTGGACGTCAACCTGCAGTAAATTCAATACGGATGTCAACCAGTGGTAACTTCAATATGCTATGCTAAATTTTGTCTCAATTGGACTAATATTGCCAGTATGGTGCACCATTTACATAAAATCGTAGGAAAATATATATGAGAGCTCTATCTAAATCTGAAACAATTCCCATACATAAATTTGGACCTAATTCAGTACGCTGTGCAAAATTTTGTCCCAATCGACCTAAATTGGACTTTTGATGCTACATTTATATAAAATCGGACGAAACTATATATGATAACTATATCTAAATCTGAACAGTTTCTAACAAAACTTCGCATACATCAATCTGGACCTAATTCAGTAGTATGTGGAATGTTTTATCTCAATCGGACCAATATTTGTTTCTTAATCGGAGCAATTTTGAGAGTTTGGTGCTCCATTTACCTAAAATCGGACGAAACTAATTTGAATAGGGTTCGTCATTGGGCCAAATAAGTGACATGTGCTAAATTTCATCCAAATCTGATGCTAAATGCGGACATGCATAAATCGACTCAGAAAGTGATTCTATGCATGTTCTCAAAAGGAACTATGGGTCTATCTCGATTCCTTTTGCCTGTTACAAACACATACACAAAGACATAATACCCTGTACCACAGCGTGGTGAAGGGTATAAAAATGGTTAAAAAAATTGTGCAACAACATTTGAAAATTTGGAAAAAAATTGCTTATGACGAATATATAAAAAGCCCAGTAGAACTAATTGGCCATAGGTCATGTTCTGGAGTTATTGCGTGATTAAATTTTTCTTGATAACTCAATATCTTCTTATCTATGTTTGAGATCACATCCTTACTTCGCCCTTACCCACCTCTGCATTGTGTAAAAAATTCGCATCTGTTTTTATAATACAAACAACAAGCTCAAGCAAAAGTTTAACATTGTATAAGGTTGTTGTAATGACGCAAGACACGAAGATAAAAAAATTTAAAACCAAAATCGAAAAATTAAAACCACGAATAATTGCTGCGCCATAAGACGCGCCAACACCACCAAACACACGCATATTACAAAGTGTGACAAGGAACCTGTGTTTAATATTGTATGGATTGCGTTCATAAAATGCAGAAATCCCGACATTGGCAACACTTTCTGAGCAATATTCATATAATATACCAGTGAGCGGGGCAGTATAGTCGGACGGGGCCGACCATATAAATACCCTACGCAACTTCCACGAAAATCTAAAAAAATCTGTTTGCACCCTCCTGAAACCCGACTAAAGTCAACAAATATTACTAATATTCAGTAGACGAGGGCTGTACTTGTCTAGATTCTCTTTACCGTGGGTTATGTTGTGATGATGGGTAAAGTCCACTTCAAAATTATTATCCTGATCATCATCCAAAAGTATAAGCGTTGTCCTTGACAATAACTGGCATCTCATGGAAATTTTCCGCCTTCTAGTGTGGTTTTGGGTTATTAAATAATGTCTGAATACGTAAGCACCTGTAAGTATTTAAGTGTAACTTCCACATCTGAGTACATACGACCATATAATTGGTATCAATTTAAAGGTCAACCACTCCTCTTGAACATACTATCAACTTCTCGGGTGTAGGTCCTTCAGGGGCAAATATATACACCATAGAATACAAATTTTGTAATTTTTCACACAAAAGTCAGGGTCCATTTGACCGGCTAAATATTGACCGATCTTTATCAAAACAGGAATGCTTATTCTTTGGCCCGATCCCTTTCTCCATGCAAAATTCGGCGTTTGGGCCATAATTGCGGACTCTGGAGCGACCAGAAAATCAGACAAAAATAAAGTTGTTGGTCCATTTCATCCCCTAAATATTAACCGATCTTTTCCAAAAACCTAGGGCTCTTCATTGGCCAGAACCCATTCTACATCAAAATTTCGTGAAGATTGGTCCATAACTGTGGCCTGTATCGTGTTTACAAATTATAATGGACGGACGGACGGACACACATGTCTAGATCGACTCAGCTAGTCGAGATATGACGATCGGTATACTTAAAGGTGGGTCTAGGACCAATATTTCGCGGCGTTACAAACTTTTGGGGCTGCACAAAGCTATAATACCCTGACAACATAGTTGTGTACGGTATAAAGAGTTATTTTAATTTCTGTGTATGTGTTTTACTCTTCATACCCAAGTATTTTTGCAAAATAAAATGTAATTATGTTTGTTGCCCTATTTCAAAGAAAGGAGAGAGTGTTTTGTTGAAATCGATTCAGAGGCAGATTCCATACATATCTTCGACCAATTGAGAAGACAAATTGCCCTGTGCTGCCGCAAAGCGAATGGCTCGTATCAATAATATTGCTTTAAATCTCGGAGATTTGATACAGGGTCAACAAAATTTTGAACATTGGGTCTCTTTCTGTACCGTTCTCCCATAACTTCCCTCGTTTCTTCAAAAGCTATCTCATGGTACTAATTTGTATAACGTTCATTTCTAAATTCAGTTTTTATAAAGAAAAGCCAACCATTTGGATATTATTTCATTTCCAAATCTAAATAGTTATAAAATATGTCGGCTTTAAATTAAACAGGGTACCAGCACACTTCAAATATTATATTTTAGCTAGACGTAAATATTTAGATGTTATTGCATTGAGATAATAAACGATTTTATGAGTTAATAAACATTTTATTTCTATATAAATTATTGTAGTATTATTTATTTAAAAATATATATATATATATTTTTTTTTTTTGATTATTTCATTTTTCCACACATAATGCACTTTTTTAGGAATCTTCACTGAATTTTTACTAACATGTATATTTTGATCGACATAGTTTTCGGAATCTTCTGTATATGCGGCATTGTCGTATGCTGTATTGTGTTGTGACATTTTACAAAAAAGCCAAAAAATGCACGTAACTTTAAAACAACCGCAACAGCAGACGAATTTATTGGCGGTCCCGGGAAAACTAAAACTGCCAAACGTTTAGATCCGACTTGTAAACTAGTAGTGTCGCCAAATGTGAACTGAAATTGTTGGCGAAATCAGTCTTTTGAGTCACTTCTGATAAGAGTTGTAAATTTTATAACATCCCAAGATAGCTGCATACCTGGGACATTTCGTTTGACAGCGTGTAAGAAAATCAATTATCTTATATTTCTTTTTTGTATAATTTGGTGATGTTCTTTGTTCTGAAAAAGAGAAACATAACACAAATATTGACAAGTTCGTCTCTAGGTCAAAGAATGATAATAATTAATAATTGTAATGGGGTTTACTACGTCATTAATTGGTTTCGATTTTCGTAGCGCTGTTACCTTAACTATCTGTCTGTTTACTCAACAGTTCATTACATCTCTTTTATCTACAAATGATTTGTAAAAATAAGTGAGAGTAGTTGAATTTCCGCGAAGCAGATTTTATTATTACACCTAATTGTTTTGACGGGAGATAAACTTATAATGACAAATTAATTGTCTCCATTTGTCACATGTTTTTTTATTATTAAAACTGCACAACAACAAACCTATGGTCGGTGTCACATTTGTTTCGTTAATAAAAGGCCGTGGTTTACCCAAAATAGAAATGCCAGACATTTTGCAAATCATCGCATAACCGCTACTATAAGTTCATTATACCAGTGCATGATCACTTCCAAGGGTTATTAATAAATAAAAATACAAAATTTGCTAGACATATCATTTATATCATAATATTTAGATAAAATATCTTCTGACATCTCGTGCTCCCACAACGATATACCATAAGGCGGGTCGTCATACTACTTTGATGTAATCTAGGAGTACAATAGATAATAAAATCCAAGGAAAAATGTTCTTAGGTTCGGTCGAATTTTTTAAAAATTGAGCTAGAACCCTAGTCATACCGAAAATGATGTGCGATCTTAGAGCCAATTCAATTGAAAAGGCTCGTGTCGACTAGTGCCAAGAAATTTTTTAAACATGCGATCGTGGTGGTTCAGAAGAAATTTATACGATCGTCACAAGGGACGAATCATAGATCTATGCGTATGAGCCCGAAATAAAACAGCAATGAACCGAGTCAATACCAACGAAAGTTGTTCAAAGCAGCTATTCCGAACCAGTTCCTTTTGAGTTTTGTTCATCTAGTTCCTTTTGCCGAAGGCTTACCATTTTACATTCGTTTACCTTTTGACCCAATCATTCATCTAAATCTTTTGGTTCATTGACAGGATGAACTGACATGTAGCAACAAACTCTAAACGTAGAACATTAAATTCTAAGTGCTGCGTCACAATTTGTTTGCCTTAATCTATCGGGAATTTCGAAAAACGAACTAGAGAAGACGAATCATTGTACACAATGACAGTGTGAGTTCTCACACGTCAGCTTAGACCAGCACCTTTTTAACTGACTAAAAAATGCATGGGTTATTCGCGGTATTGTCCTGAATTGGCAAAGAAAACACAACATTTAGTAGCCAAAAGATAAAAGTAATGTACCGTAAAAATCATGTCAATCTGACTGTTTGCGGGATAGAGGTACCTGAACGACCTATAGTCTCCATCATCGAACATGATCTAAGTTTGAAAGGAATATTATGATGTGCGCAGTTTGAACGAAATCGTGCAGACCTGTGGGACAGGAAGATCTACTGCCGGATATCCCCTAAATAGGAGCTTCGTTATATGGGGTCTATCCTGAAACTTAAGTTAATATTGATAATTTGAAGTGGAGTTTAATAATAATTTTCTGCCTATTGTAAAACGATTTAAATCTGCCTATAATTCCACAATTTAGGAGATACCATTACGTAGGGGCTATCCTAAAAATTAGACCAATATTATTAATATTATTTGGTAGAAATAAAAAGATGTTAAAATAAGATAAAAAAATTACATTTTTATTATAATATTCATAAGAAATTATATTCGGTTTGTTTTAAAATTTTAGTCCCTATTTAAGGGAACCCCACCCATTCTCGATTTTAATTTTTCAAGATTTTCAATGGGCTGGTAAATCAATACCAATGCTTGTTAAGGTTTGTAACTTTGCACATATGTAATTGAAGATTTAAAAGAGAAGAAAAATAATTTACAAAAAATGTTTGTTATTGCTTTGTTGTTTTTTTTTTGTAATTAAAGAAAAGTCCTTATTTTTGATGGCGGACATGATAACTCATCACTGGAACATCAGAATCCGAAAATTCCAACGGTGTTAGAAAGAGTACATGTCTGGCTCTCGTATGAACAAGGATTATTGACTTCGCTCTACAATTAACAAAATGGCGGATCTTTGAAAAAATATTTTTGGAAAATCGCCGATTTTTTACCAAAAACCAAGTTAAAAAATAACGAAGATCATCACCGATTGGCTTTATCCTAGTTCATACGATAGCCATACACTCACAGAGAAACGTGTAAAAATTTGGAATCGATTGGGTTATTAGTTTTTGAGTTATCGTGCGTTTAAAGTTTGAGAAGCCCTTTAGCCGTCACTTGATGCTGACACAATAAATCGGCTATATTTTCAAGAGTTCTTGAGATTTTCATTTGAAATTTTGTAGAGACATTCTTGAGTTAGTGTAGAATCGAATTAAATCAAAAAAAAAATTGACCCCGAGAATGGGGGGTCCCCTTAATTCACATTTTTATACCCTACCCTATGGTATTATAGCTTTGTGCAGCCCCAAATGTTTGTAACGCCGCGAAATATTGGTCCTAGACCCACCTTTAAGTATACCGATCGTCATATCTCGACTAGCTGAATCGATCTAGACATGTGTGTCCGTCCGTCCGTCTGTCCATTATAATTTGTAAACACGATACAGACCACAGTTATTGACCAATCTTCACGAAATTTAGCTTGTAGAATGGATTTGGCCCAATGAAGACCCCTATTGTTTTTTGTAAAGATCGGTTAATATTTAGCGTTAGTTACACGTACATATTTGCAGGTGCTTACGTGTTCAGATATTATTTAGTAACCCATTTTTATTTTTTGGATTTTTTGAGTCGATCTATAGGCCACAAATATAAACCGAACTCCACAACACAACCCACTCTGAAGGAAATCAGGACAAGCAATTAGAAGGTCTGTACTGATTATTAGTAATATTCGGAAAATATGTCAGTGTATGGAAGAGGTGCTCCTGACCTCTATTCGGGCATGAGAGTGCAACTATCACGACTACTAAACAATATTAGAATTGGTAGACCCCTGTAAATATTTATGTATAACTCCCACATCCGAGTACATACAACATAAAAATTGGTATAAATTTAAAAGTCAACCACTCTTCTTCGATATACTCATCTTTTGGAGTCTATGTCCTTCAGAAATAAATATATACGCCATAGAATACAAGTTTTGTAATTAAAAGTCTGGGTCCATTTGACATAATAAATTTTGACCGATCTCCATCAAAACCCCTTTCTCTGTGAATGGGGTCTATGACTAATATTTCGCGGCGTTACAAAATCTTGGGGGGTAGTGTATAATAATCGTAGGTCTGACAAATACATTATTAAATGCTTTATATGTAAACTTTGCAAAGAAGTTTTGTTCCTGGAATGTCGAAATATAGACACGTCTGATTAAAAACTGTACTTTTTATCCTGTTTCCATTTTACTTGTATCTCCTCAATCGTACCAAAACGATTTTCTTTCATCGATGTGTTCTGCTTTGGGAACAGAAAAAATTAATCGCGGTCAATTCCGATTGAGTCATTTTACGGGTTTGTTTTTCGCCAAAAACTCATGCACAGGCATCGATGTGTGAGCTGGCCATGATGCAAAATTCAGAGTTACAGACCGTATTAATATTCTGGACGTTTTCATTGGGATGACTGGACTTTGATTTCATGACATATCCGAAGCCAAGGTTGGTCCAATGTTAATTCGAGAAGTATTTAACGAAGGGTCTTGACGAACTTCGTAGAATATTGGCCTTAATGGTTAATTTGCGTGGAAGCTTAGTCTGTATAAATGTAAATAAGAAATAAATTTCGGCCGGGACATATTTTAATGCACTCCATTACGAAGTCTAAAAAATTCGGTTAAATCCTTAAACACACCGAAAATGTGTGGTATGTGACAATATATAGGCCTATATCGCACATATTTTTAGGAATTTCAAGGTTCTGGTCGAATTTTCCTACTTCCTTTCTAACTTCCTGTATTTTGATATTTCGGTTTCATAAACTTTAGAATTTTACAAATTCTGTCTGTTTGACACAGAGTTACGTCAACGTTCATGGTATTATTGTTTATTTGTGTTTCTGTTGTTTACTTTTAGGCGCCTGTAAATATTGTTGTTTACGATAAATAACATGACACAGAAAAAATCCGTTACTGGGATTTATGTGGTTTCATACCCCGCCACAGTTTGAAAAGTTTGTATGTTCCATGTAACAAAACACGATCGATCTTTAGTTCAGACACGGGCAGAGAGTAAAAAATTCTGTTCTCACGCACTTGTCTTTGTGTGCGTGTCAATGGTTTTTCAACTGGTTCAGTTGAATGTGTGTGAGAGAATAATGATACTCTCGCGAGAGTGCACGAGTGCGGTGATTCGCCCGACTGTGTTTTAGTTTCTTTTAAAGCAGGCTCGGGCAGAGCATAAAAATTCTGTTCTCACGCACTTGTCTTTGTGTGTGTGTCAATGGGTTTTCAATTGGTTCAGTTGAATGTGTGTGAGAGAATAGTGATATTTACTCTCGCGAGAGTGCACGCGTGCGGTGGTTTGCCCGACTGTGTTTTAAAGAACAACCACAAGCAACATTGTTTGTTTATAGTCCGGCGTCACTTGACCTTTTTCTGTTTTAACGTTGGATTGTTTTGATCTGGACTTCCAACAAAACGTAGCAATTTGTCACAAGAAGCCATTACTCCATTACGGGGAAAAAT